AAAAAAAAAATTCCCCATAAGACGAGGGTGTTTATGAATCAGTGACAACAATCATAATCATATAATTAAATTATTGAATAGAAAATTGTCTTTTGCAAGAATAATCTTCTTATTACTCACTCAATGATCCAGGTGCCATGTTCACTTCTTAAGTCAGTTACAAAAAATGCTCCATCTTTGTAGCTTATCCGAGCATGCGTTTTAGAGACCTGCAATAATGTGAACCTCTTTTTTATGAAGAATTAAGGGAAAAATAATATTTCATAGGTAGGATATGGATGCAGTTAGCCATGTCACCTTAGGGGATGATATAGCTATAGATACTCCAGGAAAGTTCGGATGTGACACGCTCCTAAGATCAGAAAAGTACTGTTGTTAGCAGCACGAGAGTTATTGCGCTATGAATGCATAAGGAAATACTTATTTGAGCTGTAATTAAACTTCAGTACATTGTATCTTATAGAAGCTGTAAGAAGAAAATTGTTTTAGTGATATCTGATTCATATTACGTAAATAAAAGAACAAATTTACAATATCGAAACCATAGGCATACCCGATGATGCATGGTTTCTTCTCGTCTCGGCTTAAGAAGATTGTTTCAGATGTAGCAGTTGAATTTCCCATAGGAAACAGAAACCAACTATAAATTACCAACAAATACACCAACGTAATTTTTGAGCTTCTTGAACACAAGTAAATGACTTTTAAATTTAAGGAAAACAATGACAGAAATTTAACAAATGCAATACTCACTCTGCATTAAGTGCGCGCTCCATGGCATCGTCATCTGCAAACCATCTTCGTAGTTGATCATTGGCCTACAATGATTAGAGAACATAAAATCAGCTCTTAAATGATGAACCATTTTTTTCACCCAATCAAGGAGCATAGAGTAAAATAAACTTCCGAGTATGCCGACAGTGCATTTAGTGTCTTAAGCTACATACTTTGTCTGAAAGTCTGCACTGCAACGATCTTCCTTCAAGGTTTGAGCTGCAAAAGGTAGAGTCCATTAATTCGTGTACAGTAAATTAATACAACACGAAAAATAAAGCTTACACTATAATGGAGATTTTCTGTATTAAACTTAGTAAAACTAATTGTTGAACCTCTCAAATTCAGTAAATTATTCTTCTACCAAGTATTTCAAGATGTGAAAGAACTCATTTTGCAAAAGTAATTATTTCAAGAAGTATCAGTTTTTAACTGCAAATCAGTATTTTCATAATTGTCGTTTAATGGAAAGAAAATGAGGGCAGATGCTTAAAAGTCAGATATAATCTGATACTGAGGTAATGGTGAACGAAGAGTCATCAAATCTCACCTGTTACCTCCAAGAACCCAATTTAGCATTAAAGGCATACCAAGGTCGATAAAGACTCTCCCACCAACTCGTCCTGGATGTGGTATCCTGAACTTCGTCAAGAACTACACAACAAACATAGGTTTCAATGAAACTGCAGGAAACTGTTGTGCCAAACTGGATTTATTTCAAGTTATTACACTTTCGTAATTGGAATGGCAAATATTTTTACCGATAATGGACCAAGTCCCACACCCAGGTATGCCTTGTATGTTGATGCCATAATTGCAGCCATCCTCGCTAGTCCATGAATAATTGCAACTCGCAGCTTTCGAGCACTCTCGTACCTGAAGTAATAAAAGCACAAAGATAGAGAATCATGCGACAGGATCAATTGTGACATGGTCTATTTACATCTGAACCATTCTTCTACATGTATGACTTCTGAGAGAATAGCTCCATCTTACGGTTCGTGCCAGAAATGGTATGGCAGAAAAGATATCATATGCCTGTCAACTTCAATCTCCAATATATCTTTTGCCTTCATAGCCATTGCAAGCCAAGCAAGTTTATTTCATAAGAGACCTTAGGTTCATAAATCCTCCAGATTTTGAACAATTTATTAATCAAAAGAACCCCATCGTTGACTTTTATAAAGTTTGCCAGACAGCAATAACAGCCAGCAAATTATGTTTTACCTCTTTAAAGAAGTAACAACATCAATATGGGTTCTTGACTCCACACTTTTCCTCCAAGCTTTGTCCAGTTCCAGTGCTAATTGATAGCTATCCTGCACCATGAAGAAAATTAATTCAATATGACTTCCAGTTCAGAGCTAGAAAGAATGCTAGATATAACCAAGTGAACAAAAATAATTAGCAGTCATAATTATATAGTGAATTTTTTGAATACATAGAGTTGCAAAAGGGAGAGACAACTATTAACATGCAAGTGTAAGCATAAGAAATTAAAGCTATGACGTATAATTTATAGGATCAAGGGACAAATACCAAAGGCAAAAAGATGGCAAAACTAAAATAGTTAAATTGTGTACCTCAATGGCCATACATCCCCCTTGACCCAAGTTGGGCTGCATAGCATGGATTGAATCTCCGAGCAAGGTTACACGACCCTTTCCCCAAGTAAAGGTTGGTGTCCTATCATATATGTCACGTCAAAGAATTGCATCTTCATCCGTGGTTAGCAATAGATCTATTACGTTATCACACCAACCTTCAAATAATTTAAGCAACCTTTCCTTTTTACCTGAAATTGAAGTGGGCACATAAAATTATACATAAAATATTTTTGAGGCAAGTTATTCTACATTGCACAATTTTCTTTCGTGCATCTTAATCCTCCAGGACATTTCCGCAGACAATAATTAAATGTAATCTAGAATATATACTTTTTACCTGAAATTGAAGTGGGCACATAAAATTATACATAAAATATTTTTGAGGCAAGTTATTCTACATTGCACAATTTTCTTTTGTGCATCTTAATCCTCCAGGACATTTCCGCAGACAATAATTAAATGTAATCTAGAATATATACTTGTCGTTTGTACTTCCATTCACAGTTAAATTCTTAGAGAAAAGAAAATTTCACTTGAGAGGGAAAATAAAAAATTTCTTTTAGTCCAATTACAAGCAAAAAAATAGAAAAAAAAA